CAAGTACCCACGAACCTCCAAGTGCACATCCCAACACCCTTCTCTCGGCACACCACGTCCTGCAGCCTCAGAAAACTATCAGATGCTTCGCCCTGCGTCCAGGAACGAAGTAAGCCCTCAACTCTCAACTCCTCAGCCCCAAAACCCTGAAGCCCTTAAGCCCTTAAACCCTTAAACCCTTAAGCCCTTAAGCCCTTAAACCCTGAAACCTTTAAACCCTTCAACCCTAAACGCCAAAATCCCAAGCCCTTCTGGTGCGAGGCTTGTCCTGAAGAGTGCGGCTATGATCCCTGGTGGGTCAAAGAGGTGCCCCTGGAATTTTAGCCTCTGCGACTCTAGGGTTTAGGGTTTAGGGTTTAGGGTTTAGGGTTTAGGGTTTAGGGTTTAGGGTTTAGGGTTTAGGGTTTAGGGTTTAGGGTTTAGGGTTTAGGGTTTATTAGGATCTTGGGCTTCTGTCCCCCCAAGGCAGAGTTCATATGAGGATTCCTATCATGATTCGATGCGCCTTCCATGAGGGTAAATAGGGCTCTTTGGGTCTATGCATCTGTACAACTCTGTAAGGCACCCGAACCCCAAACTTTGGAAAGGGATGCTCGGGCAGGAGGAGCTCAGGAGGTGCCATGTTTGCCCTAGAACTCTGAAATCCTCAAGGCTTAAATTGAAGCCAACACCTTAAACTCCTAGAAAAAGGTGGGAGGTGGCATGGGATCCCTGAATCCCAAACCCTTACCCCTGAGTGAGGGTTTGGGGGGCAGGGGGTAGCAGAGGACCAAACCCTCAACCCTGAACCTGAGATTACCAAGCCCCCCCAGTTGCGTCTGCTTTCCTGCAGCAGGCCGGACATAACGACATCGAGGTGAACCATAGGTCTGGCACACGGTCGCCGCATGAGGGTCTAGGTTCCGGGTCTAGGGCTTCGGGTAAGTTAGGGAACTCCGTATATCAAGGCGATCGAAGCCTCTAAACCCGTGCGTTCCTGCAATTGTGGCCCCTTTGATGGGTTGGCTTGTGCGTGCCTGTCCTAGGCCCCTGGACTCTTGGGGTTCATTTTTGTTTAGGGCTTAGTGTTTAGGGTTTAGGGTTTAGGGTTTAGGGTTTAGGGTTTAGGGTTAGGGTTTAGGGTTTAGGGTTTAGGGTTTAGGGTTTAGGGTTTAGGGTTTAGGGTTTAGGGTTTAGGGTTTAGGGTTTAGGGTTTAGGGTTTAGCTTGGAGTGTTTGTTGGGGTCATCTTTGAGTGCTTCCGAAGTGGATCTTACACTGCTTGGGGGGGGGGTTCCACACCCTAAACCCGAAACCCGAAACCCGAAACCCTAAACCCTAAACCCTAAACCCTAAACCCTAAACCCTAAACCCAATATGGGGGGGGTTTCCGAAAGTACGGGTGCCCTTGTTGGGGGGTCCCTTTAAGGGGATGCTCTTCTATTTGGGTATAACACTGGTGCCCCCTATTTTTGGAAAAGCCCAATGGAAGCCCTAAACCCTAAACCCTAAACCCTAAACCCTAAACCCTAGACCCTAGACCCTAGACCCTAGACCCTAGACCCTAAACCCTAAACCCTAAACCCGAAACCGACCAAAGGTCGGAGTACTTCGAGCAGCTCAGAAAATTCCTGAAGTGGCTCGACTCCTCAGACAGGCCGGGGCATACACGAATCGTCCGTTTCATTTAGGCTTTGGGGGGGGTTCAAGGGATTTAGTTCGGGTTTTTTGGGCTTTGGAAGGGTTCAAGGGACTACGCTACGGATTTTTAGGGTTTCAAGGTTGTCTGTTTTTTGCACCCTAATTCCCTTTAAGCCGTAAACCTTTCGGGGTTCCGGGTTTAGGATTCAGGGTGTCGGGTATTCGGTTTGCGCAGGACCAGGTTCCCATCAAAAACCCTCATATGAAGTCAAAAGGGGTTGCCGGCCATATTCCCGCGTTGCCTAAACCCTTCCAGATTTAAGACAGTTTTTGGGAGGCTGAGAAGGCTGCACTTAAGGGGTACAAGAAGGGACCCCACCTAAGTAGCCCTTCAACAACCCTAATTAGCCCCGAAAGATCCTTTATAAGGGTCCCTCCTTTAGTCCCCTGGTGCACAGACTAGCCCTGGGAAGCTGCATACCTCGCACTTCACGGCCACCAAGCTGTGTGCTTCAGAGCCCTTGGGGCTTAGGGTTTGGGGTTTAGAGGTTTTGGGGTTTGGGGTTTAGGGGTTCAGGGTTTAGGGTTAGGGTTCACGGTTTGGGATGGCCTGGGTTTCACGGATTTCACTGCCTTTCCCTAGAGCAACGCGGATCCTGCCTACGGCCGTCATGTTGACCCGGAGACCTCGACGTCTTTGTCGCTTTTTCAGCAGGGCTTCCAGGGAAGCGGGCCCGACACTGGGGTAAACCCAAACCCCCAAAGAATCCTAAGTACCTATGTGGGGGTCACACACCCAAACCATAATTAGTAATTCCTACTATAGAAACCCTACTTTCTACTATGTAGGTACTTAGGACCCTTTGGGACCCTAAAGCCTAAACTCTAAACCGAAGTCCTCAGCCTCCGTAATACGCATGCGCATGCGGCCAGGAGATCAGTAAAGGCGGCCAGCGGCTTCTCTGAGGACGCACGGGGCCCTGTGCCTTGGGGCCCTTAGGGTTTAAGACTTAGTTCAGGGTCTATAGGCTTTAGGGTTCAGAGCAGTTAAACCTCCAGCCCTTACATTAGCCCTAATGGCCTTTCAAAGCCCTCTGACCCTAACCCCGCGCCAGCTTCAACTTCTCAAAGTAAACCCTCAACTCCAAACCCCACACCCTTCTCCTCCGGAGTTGAGTATGTAACCGCAGCCTGAAGGTAAAATCTCGAACTCCTGGTATATACTTGCGGTATACTTTTGCCGCACAGGACAGCATCCTTAAGTGTTCATATCGTATCCCTTACTTTCCTCCGCGTCGGCTCGCGGACGACTTCGTGCCGACTTAATCGCCAGTATCAGGCCCTCCGTTGGGGATTTTGCATTGCACCGGTCGCGCTTTAACCTTCTTGTTCATCGTGAACTCCTTCAACCCTAAACCCTAAACCCTTAACCTTTTTCCCCCTGGTGAACTCAGCCCCTAAGTTTCAGCGTGCCCCTCGTCTCGGGAATCAGCTGACCTTCGGGTTTTGGTTGTTTACTGTACAAAGTTTCAGGGAATATGATGTTCATTCTAGTTCTAAGGGGAATCTCCTAAGCTCTTGTGACTTCATAGGAAAAAGCCCGCCCCTGCTACAAGCAAATGCCTCAAGGCCTAAAGAGACCTGTTTTTAGCTGCATGGGCGCCTTACTGAAGGAGTATCCAAAGAGACCACCTTAGGGTTTAGGGTTTAGGGTTTAGGGTTTAGGGTTTGGGGTTTAGGGTTTAGGGTTTAGGGTTTAGGGTGCCCCTCCATTGCGGAACATACCTTAAACGATATGGGGATCCCTCGTTTTCATGATTTAAAGTACATATTGTTAAGCTCTCAAACCCCCCAAAACCCTAAACCTTGTAACCCTAATCCCCATCACCCTAAACCCTAAACCCTGAACCCTGAACCCTAAACCCTAAACCCTAAACAACACTGGAAGAAGCATGTCTTGAATTCTGGGGGAAAGCCTTGAGGCGACCTCGGACATGGGTTGGCAGCCGCTTCTGGGCACCAGTAACCATGCGAGGCCAAGGGTCGTTCGACCAGGGGTTTAGGGTTTAGGGTTTAGGGGTTTAGGAGTTGAGGGTTTAGGGTTTAGGGTTTAGGGGTTTAGGGGTTAGGGTTTAGGGTTTAGGGTTTAGGGGTTTAGGGTTTAGGGGTTTAGGGGTTTAGGGGTTTAGGGGTTTAGGGGTTTAGGGGTTTAGGGGTTTAGGGGTTGAGGGGTTGAGGGGTTGAGGGGTTGAGGGGTTGAGGGGTTGAGGGGGTTGGGGGTTTAGGGGTTTAGGGGTTTAGGGGTTTAGGGGTTTAGGGGTTTAGGGGTTTAGGGGTTTAGGGATTCTTGCGGCAACAGTTGCCACTGAGCAGCATTGATCGCCACTCGGATCTCCCCATGCCCTAGACCCGAATTCCACGCAGAATAAGTTTGAGTCGACTTGTGTCTTAAAAACGTCAAAGGTGTGCGACTTATACACAAACAGACACACGCCCTGTCCCTGGCCGCACTCGTCTCCCCTCTTACATAGGGTTTAGGGTTTGGAGTTTAGAGGGTTAGGGTTTCGGGTTTAGGGTTTAGGGTTTGGGGTTTCAGGGGGTTAGGGTTTGGGGTTTCAGGTTTAGGGTTTAAGGTAGGGTAATTTTCCCTTGGCATTTCCCAGTGGCTTAGGTGCCGGGTGGGAAACCGGAAGCCTTTGCCTTTTTTTGTTGAAATATCTCCTCACTTCTAACCCCCAAAATTAGACCTTTGACCCCCAGTAAATTCAGCCAGTTAAACTTATAAGTGTAGTTTAAAGCATCAGGGCGCCCAACAAAGGGTTAGGGTTTGGGGTTTCAGGTTTAGGGTTTAAGGTTTAGCTCTTGTATGGCTCTGAGGGTAGTTGCATGGGCCCGTCATCTGGTCCCTAAACTCCACTAAAGGGCCCTGATGTACGGGCCCTTAATTGATGTGGGGGAACCCGTTAAGGGCCCATGCCAAGGGACCACGTAACTACCCTTAGAAGAGCCGAAAAGCAACTGATTTAATCCTGGGTCTAGTCTTGGGTAACCCTAAACCCTAAACCCTAAACCCTAAACCCTAAACCCTAAACTTGTCGGCGAGGATGCGCCCAGTGGCGGGAAGCGGCTCAATCAACACCCCGCCCAAACCCGACACTCTAGCGCTTGCCCGACCCCGAAAGATTAAAACACCTTGCTGCCCAAAACCATGAACACCCGCTAAGCCATTGAAGCCTCCAAGCCCCACAAGCCTTTTAAGCCCCTGGAACTCTCCACACCCTCAAAGGCCGCCAGAGCCTTCAATCCCACAACCCTTGAGCCCTTTGAGCCCTCAACCCTAAACCCTAAACCCTTCAACCCCACAATCTGGTGATTGCAGCCATGGCGCAGCATCACGGCCACTTTGACATGCGCGTCCCCCCGGATCCAGCGCTGCTTGGCGTGTAAGCCCCAGCCTTGAAGGGTTTAGGGTTTAGGGTTTAGGGTTTAGGGTTTAGGGTTTAGGGTTTAGGGTTTAGGGTTTAGGGTTTAGGGTTTACGACATGAAGCCTGCCCTAAACGCTAAATCATCCTAAGCCCTCAACCCTAAACCCAGAGTCCTCAGCCCTAAAACCGAAACCTCAGGCCCGAAACCCAACATGACGAGCTTGCAGTCAGGGCTTCTGGGGCGTTGCCAGTAGGAGTTTTTGGTTTAGGATTTAGGGTTTAGGGTTGTAGGGTTTTAGGGTTTTAGGGTTTTAGCGTTGGATGGTTTCAGGGTTTTAGGGTTTTAGGGTTTAGGGGGCTTCCCCCCAACAAAGAGGAACCCTCTTCATAGAACAGCCTCCGTATGCGACTGGCCGAGTTAAAGGGCTTTAGGAGTCAGGGAGTACCCATACCTTTATTCGGTTCGGGGGTTCTGTTTATGGGCTTACTGTCTACATATATAGCGCTTGGGTTTCGCTGGGCATGAGCGGGTTTAGGGTGCACGTGCTCAGGAAACTCATGGAGTACGTGGCGTCCCTGCCGGAGGAGGAGCAACAGCGGATACGGGAAGAGGCGATGGCACACATGGGCCTCCTGGGCCCTATGGGCCCCATTGGCCCCATGGGCCCTATGGGCCCTATGGGCCCCATGGGCCCCATGGGCCCGATGGGCCCCGTGGGCCCCATGGGCGCTGTGGGCCCGCCCCCCCTGCCGCCGCTGCCTGATCCGGACGAGCTGAGGCCGGCCCAGGCAACTAAGAGGCCTCACATGCAGCACCGTGAAACATTACAAAAAGGGGTCGGAGGAATTACTAATCGTATTCCCTTAGGGTCCATTTTCTGTTTATACTATAATCACCCCAAAACCCTTATTCTAAGTTTTCAGGCCCATATAGTATGCCTTCTGCTCGATCTCAGGAAGCATGGCCACGCATGCCGGGGAGGAGGGAACCAAAGTACAGACTGAGCCGCGGCTTCTATTAAAGCCTCCTTCAAGAACGAAACCAGCAACCTCTACTCTAGCGGTCTTGCCAGCAAGTTCTTCAGAAGATGAACTGGCCGTGCTTGCTTGCTTGCTTGCTTGCTTGCTTGCTTGCTTCTGTTTAATGAGACGTGTGGTACTCGCAGCCGCGGCACTAAGATAAAGTATGTAGCAATAGCTTTGCTTCACATCTGTGTTGTGCTGCACACAAAATTATTGTGATGCTTGTGCTGCAGGCGGCGCCATCGAGAAGCCCGAAGACAGTTCAAGCAGATGGAAGGCATTCGCTGACCTGGGGTTTAGGGTCAATAGGGTTTAGGGTTTGGGGTTTAGGGTTTAGGGGCTAAGTAGACAACGCCCGCATCGACTCGAACCAATGTTTGTTTGTGTCTGTCTGTGTGAGCGTGTGTGTGCTTGCTTCGAAGTTGCCAAGGCTCCTTCGTTTACAACCAATCCGAAACACCCTAGACCCCAAACCCTAAGCCCTTAACTAAACCCCAAGCCGATTCTTTGTAGAGCCTGCGGCAGCAAACCTCTGTGCAGGCTCTGCCAGCATGCACATGGTCACCATCAGCCAGAGTTGGGACATCAAGCCGCCCATGGGGGAGGCAGATGCCCTGGCCCCGATTACCGTCGCGGAGCTGTGGCTTGACTTTAAAGAGCTGTGAAAAAGTGCCTAAAATAAGGGTAAAAAGGGGGCTCTCTCAGCTCTTTTCTAGTGGCTTGGAGCTGATGGTTCAGATGCTGGGTGCCTAAACCCGAAACCCTAAACCCGAAACCCTAAACCCTAAACCCTAAATCCTAAGCCTAATGAAAAGCTACTTTTGTGGGCGAAGTGTTCGAGATGCCACGATCTTTCCTAATCTGCGAACACAGCTCCAGGCAGCTCGGCGTCACTCATCGGGGCTGCGTGCTGGAGGGAACCGTGGCTTGTCTGGGTTTAGGGATTACGGTTTAGGGTTTAGGATTTAGGGTTTGCAGGACTCAGCGGCACAAAGAACCCAAAGAGCGTTTAGGGTTTAAGGTTTAGGCTTCAAGGTTCCGAGTCTAGAGTTTAGGGGTTTAGGGGCTTCGTTTTTTTTGCTTGCTTTCTTTTTTTTGTTGGCACAGGAGGGGTTAGGGCACAGGAAATCCACAGCGGCAACCATGAGAGCGACTTGCTCTTGAAGCCTAACGCGCTTTTCTGGGTATTGGTTTTGGAAAAATTTTACATTTCTGTTCTTTCCCTTTTAAGGGAAGCTATTCATAGATAATCTTCAAAGGGCTTTAATTCAACAACCAGTTTTGAATCGACACCTTGGCGAGCCCAGGTCTGCGAAGAGCCCGTCTTCAGTGGTTCCTGCACCTTCCCGCTCGAGGATAGGGATGGCTTCGTTGCCCGAGTCGCGGTCTACAACATTCCAGGCACAGCTGCAGTCCTTTTTCGGATTCAGGCCCTTACTTTTGCATAGATGTACATAACCCACAAGATGTCTAGACACACCAAAAAGCACGTTTGTTGTTTTTCCATTTTTGGTTGAAAGGGGAGTAGAGAGAGCTCAGTGAAGACAGTTGCTGCCAATTGAGGGGGGGGGGGGGGGAGGGTTCAGCCCTAAACCCTAAACCCTAGACCCTAGACCCTAGACCCTAAACCCTAAACCCTAAACCCTAAACCCTAAACCCTAAACCGACCTGTCGTAGCTGGCATCCAAGCAGGTGCCTCATGGCAGTTGGCAGAGCGCTTGTTCTACAAGGGCCGGGCCATCGCCATCAAAGAGCCGCAGCTGAGCTACAACCCCAAACCCTAAACCCTAAGCCCTAAGCCCTAAACCCTAAACCCTAAACCCTAAGCCCTAAGCCCTAAGCCCTAAGCCCTAAGCCCTAAACCTTATAAACCCTAAACCCCTACAGCGTTCAGGGCGCAGGGTGGGGGTTTGCGATTTCGGATCTGTGATGGTTGGATTATAAGTTGACCCTATCTTCTAGGGGCTGGGTAGCTAACCTTTAACCTTTTTGGTTATATGTAATCCTATTACGAACAAAAGGTTAACCTTTCTTGGGTGCCCCTAAGTTATATATCACCTAAACCCAGGCCCATGAACCCGAAACCGTAGAAAAAGGTACTACAAAGTCGCCGCGGATGGGGCTTTTGCCGTTCGCGTGGACGACCCTGCAGAAGTCGTTGACGGCAGCAACCCAACAACTTGGCAAGAGTTCAAGGACTGCAGGGAACCCTGAACCTAAACCCTAAACCCTAGGGTTTAGGGCTTAGGGTTTAGGGTTTAGGGTTTAGGGCTTAGGGTTTAGGGTTTAGGGTTTAGGGGACCCTAGACCCTAAGCCCTAAGCCCTAAACCCTCAAGCCCAAGTCCAAGCCAAAAAGAAGCTTTCCCCGACACTTTCCTAGAAAGGGTTTAGGGTTTAGGGTTTAGGGTTTAGGGTTTAGGGTTTAGGGTTTAGGGTTCAGGGATTGACGACCCAGAGGGCCCCTCAGAAATAAGCCTTAAGATTCGGATCCTATGTGTGTTATTGAAGGCATATTCCTGAGATGCAGGGAAACCCTAAACCCGAAACCCTTGAGGGGTATCGGGCTCTTGGCCCCCCCAACCCCGCAATGAGGCACATAGTTGAGTTTGCAGCCACAAGGCCCAAGCCAAAAGCTCCACACCTTGAGGGCTGTCATCACACCATGCACAAAGACAGGCACTTTCAAGGAAGGCTTCTGTATAAACCCTACAAAGCGTAAACGCCAAACCTAACCCCCAACATCCCCCAACCCAAACCCAAAACTCCCCCAAACCCCCCAGATTCTGCCTAAGATTTCAACACCGAGCCTGTAAAACACACGAACCCTCAGCCCGAAACCCAAACCCTAAACCCTAAACCCTAAACCCTAAACCCTAAACCCTAAACCCTAAACCCTAAACCCTAAACCCTAAACCCTAAACCTGTCAAGGAGCTCGGGAACCGATGCTTTCAGGCCAAGCAGTTCCAGAAAGCCCTGGATGCGTATCAGCAAGGCCGGGGCCAGTGGATCCAGGGGCCGAAACCAGGGTTTAGGGTTTAGGGTTAGGGTTTGGGGTTTAGGGTTTAGGGTTTAGGGTTTGGGGTTTGGGGTTTGGGGCTTGGGGCTTGGGGTTTGGGGTTTGGGGTTTGGGGTTTGGGGTTTGGGGGTTTAGACTTGCGAGCTCCCAATCCGTCCCCTGGGAGGCCTACACCGACTCAGCAACGAGAGGGAGGAGCTCAGCATACTCTACAGCAACAAGGCTTAGAGGGTTTAGGGTTTAGGGTTTAGGTTTAGGGTTAGGGCATGCTATACAGCAACGAGGTGAAGGGCTTATGGACACCTGACCCCAAAGCCCTACAGGACTCAACTCGAAAACCCCCAAAAATTTACGCGGACCCTAAACCCTAAACCCTAAACCCTAAGCCCCAAGGGGCCCCAAGCCCAATATGATCGGAGATTAAGATTCCATGCCTTCCCGGCCGACTCCTGCCAATCTTCGAGAACCCCAAAGCCCAGAGCCTGCCTTTTTCGGTTTGTTCTTATAGAGCTCCATATACAAATGTTTAGGGTTTAGGGTTTAGGCTTTGGGTTCTTGGGGGGGATAATTCGAGCTGGCATGGGGATCTGACAATTCCGGCTTCCAACCCTGCACAAAAGTTTGTGGAGGCGCAGTGTATGCTGAACTTCGACAGCTACTTTCACAACTTCTCCGCTTTAAGATATGCTGGTGTCGCCGTCCACCTGGACCGAGCGAACGTGAAAGCCAGGCCAGACCGACAAGAGTTTTACCCTAAACCCGAAACCCCAAACCCTAAACCCTAAATGCTAAACCCTAAACCCTAAGCTTAACGTTCAAGCTCACGGTACTTGATGGAGGTGGCCGCACTCCTATTGCGGGCCAATACAAATCGGGGTTGATGCAAAAGTCTAGCTAGTGCAAAGAGCAGGGTTGATTTAGGCTTGATCTTCTTCTGTGGCACAATCTTGAAAGTTTAGGCTACATAAAGATGGCCCAGAATTTGGCGCAGCCCCCCAAATTTGTCTGGATTTCGGGCACCCGTGCTCGCAGATTTCTGGGCCCTGAGAGACCGTGCTTGCTAGGAAGAGGCTGCAAGAGGCATCGAAGAAGTGTGGTCGCTTGGCTCACGCTGCTGGTGAAACGAAGGTTAGGGTTCTGGTTCAGGGTTTAGGGTTTGGGGTTTAGGGTCTAGAGTTCAGGGTTCAGGGTTCAGGGTTTAGGGTTCAGGGTTTAGGGTTGAGGGTTCAGGGTTCAGGGGTTCATTCAGGGTTTCGGGCTGAGGGTCTTTCTAAGGAACTCGGGAAAGAAGTATATACCCTCCATGAACCTCCTAAGCCCTAAACCCTAAACCCTCCTAAACCCTAAACCCTCCTAAACCCTAAACCCTCCTAAACCCTAAACCCTAAACCCTAAGGTCCTGCGAGCACCCAGCCAGAGCTTCACTGGTTGCGACGGCCTGACGTAGTCGTCTGGGCCAGTTGGACCGTGGTGCGGGGAATCCCGGACTTCCTTGTCCTCAGGCTTTTTGTTCAGGGTTTAGGGTTTAGGGTTTAGGGTTTTCGAAACCATGAAGCCGCCCCTAAACCCGGAACCCTAAGCCTAAGAGGCGGCCTTAAATTCATCCGATCCACGGCGAAACCCTAAAACCCTTAAAGACACAAAACTCTACGTAAAACCCCAAACCTCCTAAAACCCTACAACCCTAAACCCCTTAACCCTAACCCTTAACCCTGACCCTTAACCCTAAAGCCCTGAAACCTAACTCCCTCGAAGCCGAAAGCCCCAAGGAAGCGAGCCCAAGACGTGGCAAGCGCTGAAAGAGGAGGCCAAGGAACTCTTCATCCGGGAGAAGCGCCCCCCTAGGGTTTAGGTTTAGGGCTTAGGGATTAGGGCTACGAGGAGGGCTTGAGGGTTTGGGGGATGGAGGATTTTAGCTTGTTGTAGCTTTTTGAGTATTTTAGGGTTTGGGGTTAGGGGGGTTTTAGGGTTGGGGGTTGGGGGTTTAGGTTTTTCGGGTTTAGGATTTTCGGGCGTTAGGGCTCAGGGTTTTTGAACTTTGGCGGTTTTAGGGTTTCGGGCTTAGGCGAATGGGGGCATGGGCGGGGGATCCTCTTCAAGACCTCACATTTCAAGCCCGAAACTCTACCTTACAGCCCTAGGCTACAGCCCCAACCTCGTAACCCTGGAGGTTGGTCGATGGGTTTCCCTACTACCCCCCATGCGACCCTCCCCCTCTTGAAATCCCCCTCTTGAAAGCCTTAATTCGGCTTAATTCTCCCTAAACAGCCTTAATTCTGGGGGGAACCTACCGGGGGGGCAGTATAGAGGGCCCTAAACCCTAAACCCTAAACCCTAGGGAAACCCGCAAAAGGTACGTTGAAGCAGATCAGCTCTACAGCTGCGCACTGATGAAGCACGGTGCGGCGAATGGAGCTCCGACGGCCAGGGGTTGTGTGGTTCTAAACCCTAAATCCTAAACCCTAAACCCTAAACCCTAAACCCTAAACCCTAAACCCTAAACCCTAAACCCTAAACCCTAAACCCTAAACCCTAAACCCTAAACCCTACAAACCCTAAACCCTAAACCCTCAAGGGCTTGAGGGCAGAGGGGTTGAGGTGCGAGTCCAGGAGCATTGTGAAGTCGAATTGCCCTGCTTGCCACTGTAGACTGGGATCTCGGGCCATCCATGCAAACCCTTTCCGTGATGCGCGCTTCAAGCCATCCCAAACCCTATGCCCTAAGCCCTAAGCCCTGGAAACCCTAAAGCCCCAAAGCCCTAAACCTTGGAAACCCGAAAGCCTTAAAGCCCTAAACCCGCAAGCCCTAAAGCCCCTAAAATCCGAAGCCTTCAAATGCCACCTGAAGTTCCCGGTGCCCGACGGTGAGCTGCCTTGTGTTCGGATTTAGGGTGTAGGGTTTAGGGTTCAGGGTTCAGGGCTTTTGGGGTGTACTGTTGGGGAACGGACAAGCTTGAAGGTTTTGTCAGGATCTAGGGCTTCGGGACTTCTGATAAAGCCACCGACGCCGGCGTTAGAGGCAGACCTAAAACCAAATATTGAATATTCTCCCTGGTTCTTAGTAGGGAATGAGGGAATGATGGCCCTATATCATCCCTTAGAGGGTATATATAGGGCCCTCACTCCCGCATTCCCTACTAAGAACCAGCCAGTCGTCCCATGATGGGCAACTTTTGGGAAGATGCCTTTGATTATTCTTCTTGGGTCACATCGACAAGGGCCATCAATTATCAAACTAGCTCAAAGCTCATAATGTTCGAGTTCTTGTAGAGAAGCAAGCCCAAAACCCCAAGCCTTCAGCCCTAAACCCTAAACCTTAAACCCTAAGCCCTAAACCCTAAACCCTAAATCCTAAGCCCTAATCCCCCCCAAAAAAACAAAACACGTTTCAGGAATCGCCGTGTTGCTCGGCAACATGGCGCAGACATGCCTCGAGCTTCAGAAGTACAAGGACCTGGGTGCTCAACGCAGTGGGCAATCGATGAGTCTTTTAGGGTTTAGGATTTAGGGTTTAGGGCTCTTGGGTTTAGGGTTTAGGGTTTAGGGTTTAGGGTTTAGGGTTTAGGGTTTAGGGTTTAGGGTTTAGGGTCTAGATGCCTCAGCTTACGGTTTGGGGCGTCTGGGGTGCATCCGCATGGACTCTGCATGTGGTGCCCCCTTGAAGGGCTCATAGGGCAACAACCCCGAACTCCTGCAACAGGAATTAGGGGGGTCTTGAAAAACAGTCCTGTCCCCTCAATCTCAAAATCCCCTATTTTGCTTCAAAAAAAACGAACAATGAAAAGGAGGCTTGGGGGGGAGGAGGGAGGGGAGGGGGGGGGGGGGGGGGGCTGCGCTAACTCTTCGGGGGGGGGGGGGGGGGGGGGGGGGGGGGGGGGGGGCTGCGCTAACTCTTCGAGACATGCTAAGCCTGAAACTGTCAACCCATGTTAAAGTCAGGGTCTCAGGGTTTAGGGTTTAGGGTTCAGGGTTTCGGGTTTAGGGTTTGGAGTGCAGTCTGTTTGTTGTTGTATTTTTTTCCGGTGTTTTGGTTGGGTTGCAGGAGGCGTTGGCTCACAGTTCAACGGCTGTCCTGCTGCCGGGAGGCAGGGCTCCTTGTATCAGGGCTTAGGAGCACGATACTTTAATACTTTTTTTGGTTCTGGGTTCCTATTATTGCTACTTATTACCCAAAAAGTATATACTTTTTTTCCAGGGTCTACTCCAAAGCTAAGTTGTATCAGGGCTTAGGAGCACGATACTTTTCTGGGTGTTGCTTGGGTATAATTTTAAATTTGCCTTTAAATCCCTTTTGAAGGGAACCTGTTTATAAATGATTCTCAAAGGGCTTCAAAAGGCAACCCCCAGTGTTATTAGTTTTTGTTGGTTATGGTTTCCCAAAGCTACTTGTACCTGAAAAAAACTCCCAAGGGCTACTCCAAAGTAGGGATCAGGGCTTAGGCGCATGCAGCAACTCGAACTCCACCCCCCCCCCCCCCCGATGCCTCTCCCCCGGGCGTTCGAAGCCCCTTCAGACACCCAACACCTAAGACCCATACCCTACACCTACACCCTAAATCCGTAGCCCTAAACCCTAAACCCCAAACCCTAAACCCCAAACCCTAACCCCCCCAAACCCCAAACCCCAAACCCTAAACCTCCCCAGCTTCGCAGCCATCTCCTCCCCTCAGGGAGCAACTCATTGCTGGAGAAGCTCTGGATCCGCCGTGCGCGTTCGCTGGAGGGGCGGCCAGGAAGCAAGGTGAAGGCTTGTATCTAGGTGGGACTTTACTACAACTGTATCACTTTAAAACTTGAGGGTCCTCTGATTTCACATTAAGGCAGCTAAGAGTTAAACTTTTAGTGGGGGGTTAAAGAGCAACCAAAGTAGCATAGCTTAGTAGCTGACTAGGTTCTTAACCTTCTGGAGTATATATAATTCTAGGAAAGGTTCACCTTTTTTGGCCCAGGGTACTCAGCAACTAGCATCAGGGGGGTTTCCGAAAAGAGGGTTTCGGGTTGAGGTTTTTTGGAAGCAAGGTGGATACTTGTGTTATAGGGGGGGTACCTTTCCGGGGAGTTGCCATAATTAGAACTTCACAGATGATGTATAGTAACTTTGAGACGTATATTATCGTGTTATGTTGCAGGACTTCACTCCTTGTGTTGTAGTGGACATGCATCATGTGATGCCCATTGTTCTGAAGAGTTAGACCCCCTAAACCCTAAGCCCCCTAAAGCTGGAGGGTCCAAAGTTTGCGCAGGGCGATGGGCTGGCGCCTGCCGATCTGGCAGGGTAAACTAGGTGGGACTTTACTACAACTTTATCACTTTATAAGTTCAGGGTTCCTCTAATTTCATATTAATTTCATATTAAGGGAGCGAAAAGTTAAACTTTTCGTCGGTGGTTAAATAGCAAAACCAAGTTAAAGGCAGAACTCCTCATCGAAGGTTGGGTGACGACAGCTGCTCCACTGCTCTGGACACTGTGCCTCTGCCTGGCGTCCAAGCCGAAGCCAAGACGCTCACTCGCACTGGGGGGTGAGGGGGCCCTAAGCCAAAATCTCTGAGTTCCAGAACTGTTTGTGAGATTTCCCATGTAAGGCACCCCTATAGACATGTCTCCTGTTGCAAAAGCACGAAGCCCCAAAAGAACCATAGTGGAGGTTGACCCGTACAACTGCAACAACGGGCCCTTTTGCGGATTTCTAGTGCGGTCCACTCCCTACTTTTTCGGGCCTCTCATTTCCTTCACCCCAAACCGCAAACCCAAAACCCAAAACCCTGCACCCTAAACCCTAAACCCTAAACCCTAAACCCCAACCAGCCTCCCGACGCGCATCAGCCTCCATGTGAGGCAGCTGAAGGAGCGGCGAGCCAGCGCCGTGGGCGTCAAGCCCGTGTCCGCTGTTCCGACAGAGTGCCACGGCGGAAAAGAGGCCGCATGAGTCCAAGAGGTGAGACGGTTAGAAGGTTTAGGTTTCAGAGTTCAGGGTTTAGGGTTTAGAAAGCATGTACAGAATATGATGGGTTTGCAGTCCCATGACGTAACTTGGTTCTTGGTGCATGTGGTCCTCCGGATTTCTGGTTGGTTGTTGTTGTTTTGTTTTGCGCCCTGCTGTAAATCCTGAACTTGTATGAATGTGGGATGTGGTCAGGCCTTTTGGCAACTGCATGTGCCTACCTAAACCCTAAACCCCAAACCCCAAACCCCAAACCCCAAACCCTAAACCCTAAACCCTAAACCTTTCATGTGCCTTAGGCTTGTAGTAGGCTTGTGGCTGGTGGCGAAAGGTTTCTCCTGGCCGCCCAGGAGTGGATTGATTGTATCTCGGATGGATACCCCACGCCAAGCCCTTAAAATTTAAGAGCCTCCGGCTCAAGCCGCCGACCCCGCTGGAGCATAGTTGAAAGGTTTAAACGCGATGTGCTTGAGCCTCTGTGAAATGTTGGGACCCAAACAGGAGCTGAAGCCAGCTTGAAGGCCAGGGCAGCCCCATCAATTGGTAGGGGGGGTAGGGGGGGGGGGGGGGGGGGAGGGGGGGGGGGGGGTGGGGGGGGGGGGGGAGGGGGTAGGGGGGGGTAGGGTAGGGGGGGGGGCGGGTTTAGGTGCCTTTTCCCATCCAACGCGCCGCCAGGGTCGGCGGACTCCCCTGAGCCCTAAACCCTAAACCCTAAACCCCAAACCCCAAACCCCAAACCCCAAACCCCAAACCCCAAACCCCAAACCCCAAACCCCAAACCCCAAACCCCAAACCCTAAACCCTAAACCCTAAACCCTAACCCACAGCATGCTTCCCAGGCAACAGTTTCAGATGCGGGAAGGCTTCATGCAGGCATGGCCATTCTCGGGTAGTAAGGGGAATGACAGGTGTTGAGAGCTTAGGGCTTGGGACTTTCTGGAGCATCTGGAGCCTAAACCCTAAACCCTAAACCCTAAACCCTAATGCATGGCCCCATAATATGGCCCCTGACCTCCTTAAAGGGTTCTGAGGTAGGGGCGCTGGGGTTGTTGTGCGGTACATAAGGGGTTTATAAAGGTTCCCCAATTAGGGGGCTATTAAGGGACCATGTAACTACCCTAAGAGAAGCACTAGCCTAAAGCCTCAACTAAACCTGGCACTTGGCAAAGCATGAGGGATTTCGGCACCTTCTATCCCCCGATATATATATATATATACATACATATATATGCCCTTCTAAGGGGTTTTTTCCCGACTAAGACTTTAAGAGCCCGTAAGCAAACCACCCCCAAGACATGGGTTTCCGTACAACTCTCCTCCATACTACCTACCCCCCCTCGGATCCCCGGTAAAAACCTCCATTAGGCTCAACTATCCCTAAGTTGTTCACCAACGCTTGTGCCACTGGGCCTTCTGACGCAGCTCCTTATGAAGCACCTGCTGTGGTGCACTTCGGTTTAGGGTTTAGGGTTCAGGTTTAGGGTTCAGGGTTTAGGGTTTAGGGTTTAGCGTTGCGGTACGGTGGACATGTGCCGGTAGATCAAGAGAGCGAGGCTGCTATGAGGGCTCGCCAGGCAGACGTTACTGCTAAGGCGGCATTGGAGCAGGGAAGACCTGTGCTTGGCATGGGCGACGACAGCAACCGTGAGAACAAGTTCGACAAGGATCTTTTCACGGTTGAGAACCCAGCCCAACCGTCCGCTGGCGCTGGTGACGAGATAGATGGCAAGCCGCTGAATCATTTGGACTACATAGTGGCGTTGCAAGATTTGGCGTACAAGGTTATCCCGTCCGGCGAAGAGGATGGTAAAGACACAGATAGGGTTTACATAAGCGTACTGGCTTGACGCAGGTCTATATACATAAGCCCTACACGCCCATTCTTTTGCTGGTCGATTCCCCACAGAAGAAGGGTTCTTTCAGCGTTGGCCCCGCCCTCAAAAGTAGGCCGGCCTGTATCAGCAGCAGGGAGCTCCTTTCTTTCTTTCCCTAAGCAGCCTCATTATTGGGGAGAACCTAGGGGGTGTATATAAAGGGGGGTAGTAGGGGAACCCCTGAGTAAGTACAGCCCTTCTGGTACGGTGTGTGTTTTTTTTGCACGGTCGGTTCTGCGACAAACCTCCCCCCCCCCCCCAGAAAATCAACAAAAGCCATTCAAAACCTTGATTTAGGGCTTAGGGCGGTTAATGGCATATAGGGTTTGAGGTTTAGAGTTTTTGAGAGTTTCCTCTGTAAAGGTCAAGAACGCCTTAAGTCCTTCCCAGAGACTCCAAAACTACTTATTTAAGGAATACACCTTAAATCATATTAGGGTTCCTTAATTAAGGGTTTGAGAGTCTCTGGGTAAACCATGAGTCGGAGGAGCTGTTGTCCAGACAAGACTCCTGTACACCGGACGAGCTGCTGCTCAGCCTGGATGCCAGATGATGTCTGTTGTTGTTTTGTTGTGTCCCTCAACCCTCAACCCTCAACCCTCAACCCTAAACCCTAAATCCTAAACCCTAAACCCTAAACCTTTTTGTGTTTCGGGCTTTTGGGTTGAGAATTTGAGGGTTCGGCTTTTTGCGGTTGCAGGGACTGGGTTTTGGCTTCTGATCGTGAGCTGGGATCTTGGAGCAAGGTCCATGATGCACCGGTTGTGTTTCTCTAGATTCCAGGAATGCCCCCACAACCAAAAAAAGCCTGAACCCTAAAGTAAGCCTTACTAACCCTAGACCCGAAACCCTCAACCCTCAACCCTAAACCCTAAACCCTACACCCTAAACCCTAAACCCTAAACCCTAAACCCTAAACCCTAAACCCTAAACCCTAAACCCTAAACCGTCCCAAACTTGGAGTGGGCCAAACCCACCCTTAAAACCCTCCAAGGATGGCGCTTGGAGCGATGCTGGATCTTGCACCTCCGGATGCCAAGAAGAAGCTGCAGGAGAGGGTTTCTCGTTGGATTTGTTTAGGGTTTAGAGTGGGTTTCTAGTGGGTTTATAGTGGGTTTATAGGGTTTCTCGTTGGATTCGTTTAGGGTTTAGAGTGGGTTTATAGTGGGTTTAGAGTTGGTTTATAGGGTTTCTCGTTGGATTCGTTTAGGGTTTAGAGTGGGTTTATAGTGGGTTTATAGTGGGTTTATAGTGGGTTTATAGGGTTTCTCGTTGGATTTGTTTAGGGGTTTAGAGTTGGTTTAGAGTGGGTTTTGTAGGGTTTCAGAGGGTTCTATCGGGTTTGAAAAGGGTTTGACTAGGGGTTTAGAGGGTTTATAGTGTGCACATGGTCTATCGCGTTCAAAGGGTTTAGGGAGAAGGTCTTAAGGTTAGTAACTAGTCCGACCGCTATATGACATCAGGCGTTTAGGGTTTAGGGTAAAGCCTAAACCCTAAACCCTTTACCCTGGATGAAGGAGCAGTTTGGCCCGCTATGCATGCGCAAAGTGCCCACCTTCCACGTGCAGTTTCCAAAGCAGTGCGGCCTGCCGACGTCGGATCCTGAATCCATGCAGCATTGCCAGCAGCTACTGCCGCTTCGTCCGAACACTATCCTGAGACCTGTTTTGGGGTCAAGGGGCGTTTTAAACCCTAAGCCCTACCCCCCTAAGCCCTAAACCTTTTGGGCGTACGAAAATCCGGAAGTCTGAACTCTACGCACCTGTAAGCCGCCTGAGATTCAACGCCCCTGAAATCCTACAAACCTGCCAGCCCAGTGGTACCCTTTTTGTGGTTCAAGGTTCTCTTATTCCCTTTTGGGGGTCGGTTCCCTTATAAACCCCTTTAAGCAAAGAGGGGCACCCTTGCCAATCCCAGGCCACGGGGCAACCGACTCGAAGTAATCATAATCCTCATATTCATAATCATCGCAATATGGATCACCACAATGAAACACGAATAGGAATAGTATTAACACATCCGTATATTGCACATAAGTAGCACAACCGGAGAACTCATCGATAGTAAGTGGCATAGAAGCAGGGAAGGGTCCGGCATTCGCTCTTAAGGCGTGAATCGTACGCCCACGCCTTGACGAGCCCATGGATGACTGAGTGGGCATTACAGCAGGGAACAATGCAGCCCCTCGGCATCCCCCTTTAAGGGCATTGGGGTTGTTATAAGACTCAGGGTAGTTTCCGAGGTTGTGGATTGAGATTGCAGAGGCTCTGCCTCCGTGGTGCTGACCTCATTTGTTCTGTTAAGTTGCTTGTTGCCGAAAACCCTGAAAACCCTAAACCCTAAACCATAGACCCTAAACCCCACACCCTAAACCCTAAACCCTAAGCCAACACTGCATGTATAATGAAGTTTGTTTCAGATTTGTTCCAGCCCTCGAAAAGTTGTGGGCTTTTGGGGGCAGAGGGGGCAGAGGGGTGGGTGTTATGGGGTACAGAAGCGAGGGGAAGGGGTGCCCCAATTCAGTGCCCAAGATAAAGGGACCGCTGCCCTAAGTGGGTTCAGGGTGTCAGGTGTTCAGGTTCTGAGGTCATCAGATGCACCTGTCAACGAAAGCAAGTAAGGTACAGCCCTAAACTTTCAACCTCCAATTCTTAAGCCCCCCCTAAAGTCGTTCAATCCCTGCACCTAAAGCGCCGTCACCCCTAAACCCTAAGCCCTAGACTACATAGAGGGCCCCCCCCTAGAACCCCGAACCCGGCAGAAAGACAGGTTCGACGAAGCCTCCCTGTTCAAGCGCTTCAATGGCACACTGGGAGCCCAGTGGTATGCAGAGCAGCCCGGCGAGGTCTTTTAGGGTCTAGACGGTTTATAGGGTTTATAGGGTTTATAGGGTTTATAGGGTTTCTAGGGTTTCTAGGGTTTCTAGGGTTTCTAGGGTTTCCAGGGTTTATAGGGTTTATAGGGTTTATAGGGTTTATACGGTTTATAGGGTTTATAGGGTTTATAGGGTTTATAGGGTTTATAGGGTTTATAGGGTTTATAGGGTTTATAGGGTTTAGGGTCCATGGTGTTTTGGGGCGTTTGTTTGCCCGTCGTTGCGGGTTCGTGGCTTCCTCTTGCACTTCATGTTCTAAACCCTAAGCCCTGCGGGCATAGGGTAAGCGGACAAGCACAACTAGAAAGACACCCAGAAAGCAGGCGTTCGACCCCTAGCCTAGCCTTTTTAAAACCCTGTACTTGAAGAACGCTCGTGAACCTACGAAGGATAGGCTTCCGTTTAGGAGCGATGCCCACGGGTATTCACCCAAATTCTGGGCCCTTTTTCGTCGTCGTCTGCTTAGTCGAGAAGAGAGCGGGCCCTAATTTAAACCCGACCAAACCAAATAAACACCTATACACCCTAAACAAAAAAAGCAAGCCCGAGCCCAACAACAAGAGGTCCACACCCCAAAACAAAAAAAGTCCACCCCTAAGCCCTAAACCCTAAACCCTAAACCCTAAACCCTAAACCCTAAACCACCCTAAACATCTTAGGGGGCCACACGGGAAGGACTCAAAAGTCCCCGGTTGCCAGGCACTCGCCGCTGATGCCCGGGAGCATCATCAGGCAGCTCAGGGCTTCCAAGGGTTTTGGGGGTTGGATGGTCTTGGGTTTAGGGTTTAGGGTTTAGGGTGTAGGGTGTAGGGTGTAGGGTGTAGGGTGTAGGGTGTAGGGTGTAGGGTGTAGGGTTTAGGGTTTAGGGTTTAGTTGTGGGGTTTAAGGTTCAGGGTTTTAGGGTTCCAGGTCTAGGGTTTGGTTTAGGGTTCAGAGTTAAGGGTTCAGGGGAAAAGGATTAGGGTTTGAAGGTTTGATTTAGGGGTTCAGGGTTCAGAGGTCAGGGGTTTAAGGCTGTCCCAGTTCTTCCGTGTCTTTATTCTTTCATTTTCGTTTTCAGGGGTTTGAGGGGTTTGCAAGGGTTTTGTCAACAAAAAGCAACGATCCTTGAGACCAGGGCTCGCGAGGAGGTGGACAAGCAGCGGTACTCGGAGCTCATCCGGACCAGCTCCCAGGACCCACCAAATGGTACACTTTTTGCGTGTGCCTAGGGTTTAGGGTTTAGGGTTTAGGGTTTAGGGTTTAGGGTTTAGGGTTTAGGGTTTAGGGTTTAGGGTTTAGGGCTTAGGGTTGGCTGGTTCTAGGGAGTGAGGGAATGAGGTACCTTTTTGAATCCCTTAAAGGGTATAGTATAGGGCCCTAATTCCCTCATTCCCTGCGAAGAACCAGGGGGACACTTTGTTCGTGTGTTGTGTGGGGCTTAACAGGTTTGGGGTTTGGGGTTTCGGGGGCTTTAGGGTATTCAGTTGTGTTAAGGGCGTTAGGGTCCTACCCGGTCCTACCCGCAATGGTGCCCATTTCTGGGTTGTTAGATACGGAGCGTCATGGAGCTGTACACGAAATAAGGTGGAATCCGTTTGTTTATGGTAATCTTGTTCAAGCGCGTTCTGTGGCTTGGGGTTTCAAGGGCGTTTACCGTTTTAGAGAGTTCCAGACCAGAGGTTTCAAAACGGTTTGTAGTGTACAGTTAGGTTCCCTTATGCAACAAAGTTAAGCCCGAAGCCCTACATTAAGACCTTTTTGGTTCCTATGCTTCCGCAAAACCTAGGCTTCTGCAACCACTGCTGCAGGCTGAGGGGACGTCAGGGTTGAGGGCTTGAGGGGGGCTTGAAGGGAGCTCAGCCTTTTTGGTTGCAAGGTTGAGGACTCCAGGGCGTTCAGGGTTAGGGCTTAGGGCTTCGGGCTTAGGGTTTAGGGCTTCGGGCTTGGGGCTTGGGGCTTGAGGCTTAGGGCTTAGGGTTTAGGGTTTAGGGTTTAGGGTTTAGGGTTTAGGGTTGGGGGGTGGCAAGGGTGCTTGGGGGTGGGGTTGGCCTGCAGCTGTGGAGCTGGGCATTGCGTGGGAGATCTCTGCACCCTGAAGCCCTCTTAGCCTAAACCCTAAACCCTAAACCCTAAACCCTAAACCCTAAACCCTAAACCCAACAGTCTAGAACTCCAAGAGCCCGAAAACCTCGACCTTGACCTAGATCATGCCTTAGAGCATCCTATAGCCTTGTTACCCTAAACCCTAAACCCTCTGACCCTAAATCCCTAAACCCTAAATCCCTAAAAACTTAATCCCTAAAACCCTAAACCCTAGATCCCTAAAAACTTAATCCCTAAAACCCTAAACCCTAAATCCCTAAAAACTTAATCCCTAAGACCCCAAACCCTAAATCCCCGAAAGGCGAGACATCCTCCACAAGGGCACGACCCACGTGGCGGTAGGTTTTAACGACCTCGGCCTGCTGTTGTCCTGCGAGCTGCGTGATGAGCCTTCGAAGGCAGGCCTGGCAAAAGAGGGTTTTGGGTTTAGGGTTTGGGGTTTAGGGTTAAGGTTTGAGGGTTTAGGGTTTAGGGTGTAGGGTTTAGGGCTTAGGGTATAGGGTTTACGGTTTTGGTTCAGTCCCAAAAGTCTTGCAACCACTAAAATCCCTGTTGTGGAAGCCAAAGCATATCCCACAAGTTGCAGCCGAGGGGGGAGACAACCCTCCCCGTGTCCCCTCCCTTCCCTTCCAAAAAATGCGCCTATTGTTCCCCCTTTCAGAATCCCATGTAAGGCAGTACTCAGGCTTTTGAGGGCCTTACTTCGGGGTTTAGGGCTTCTGAGTTTTGCGACACACAGTAGGATTTACGGCTCCAGGGTTGAAACCCTAAACCCTAATTAAACCCTAAACCGTGAAGCTCCGAATCACAAGTTTCGGCTCCCTGAAGAACGTGTTGGGGCCGCTGCGCTTCATCGGCGTGGACGCCAGCGCGTACTCCGTGGCCAAAAGCAAGGCGGCGAGGGTTCCGGGGGCCTATTCGGGGACATCTACAAATCACGTGCACCTTTGCAGACAGTATAGGCTTTGAGTCTTTGAGGTATGGGAAATACCCTAAACCCTGAACCCTGAACCCTAAACCCTAAACCCTGACCCTAAACCCTAAACCCTGACCCTAAACCCTAAACCCTAAACCCTAAACCCTAAACCCGGGGCGTTGGCTCTTCTGAAGTCTCGGACCTGGTGAAAGCTTCAGCAAGCGTTTGTGGTTTACCGGGGCACTCGTGATTCGCCATAAACTATCCCCATATCGTCCCTACATATATATATATATATATTTTTATCTTTTTTCTATACTTATTATGTATGTAGACTGCATATCCAAAATGCTCCGTTAACACTGATTAGGAAGTGGGCCGCTGCATGAGGCATCCCAGGGGAATAGGTTCTCGATTCCTTTGATGGGGTCCCGAATTCCCCCCCCCCCCAAACCCTGAACCCGAAACCCTAAGCCCCAAACCCTTCACCGAAAGCCCTAAAATCCTAATCCCAGAACTTCAGTAAGCTCAGTAAACGGGTTCAGCCAGGTCATAGCGGAGATGTTGAAGCGCGACATCCCACTTGAGCACGTCCTTCAGGCTTGGTACTCCTCCACCTGCAGCAACTGGTCCGGTTTAGGGTTATAGGAGTTAGGGTTTAGGGGTTTAGGGTTTAGGGTTTAGGGGTTTAGGGGTTTAGGGTTTAGGGTTTAGGTTTTAGGTTTTCGTTCAGGGTGTTGGGGGGGTTATAGGGTTTTGCGTGTACGCTTCGGTGTGGCGTCCAGGTGGAGCCCCGAGCGCGATGGAAAAGTCCTAAGCCTGAACCCTCTATGTAGGGTTTGGGCTTAGGGCTAAGGGCTTAGGGCTTAGGGCTTGGGGCTTCGGGCTTAGGGCTTCGGGCTTCGGGCGTGGGTTGAGGGTTGGGGTTTAGGGGTTCAGGGACATCCCACAATGGTTGAATAAACTTGTATGGGGGGAAGGGCAGTGGGGCTTGTGCTCTCCAAAAACGCGCTGTAAGATTCTTTGCGGCTTCTTTGGGGGTGCGGGGGAGCTCGGGGATGGATGTGTTTGTGGTTTAGGGTTTAGGGTTTAGGGTTTAGGGTTTAGGGTTTAGGGTTTAGGGGTTAGGGGTTAGGGGTTAGGGGTTTAAGGGCTTAAGGTTTTAAGGTTTAGGGTTGAGGGATGGGATTTTCGGGGGGGGGGGGGGGGGGTCTAAAGGCGAGTATGGGGTCTAAAGGCTAGTATGGCGACTTCGGCTGTCCAGGTCGTTCACCTATTGCAAGGGGCCAGAACCGGTCGGTTGAAAGCTTCGGGCTCTCGCACGGGCCACAGACGGAACGGGTTTAGGCTTTAGGGTTTAGGGTTTAGGGTCTAGGGTTTAGCGTTTAAGGTTAGCAGCGGAGCATTTTAGAGCTTGACCCGCGGCACTGTGCAACCACAAAAACCGCAGTTTTCTTTTGCTAGAGACCTTGTGGGCTGCTATACCCCCCCCCCCCCCCGATATTCCAAACCCTGAACCCTAAACCCCCCGTTGTTTCTAAACCCTTTGGGATGTTCGCCCTTATACAAACAGTTCTTAGTAGGGGTTATAGTACCACCCTTTTTTTCATCCATATTAAGGACTGTTAGTGTAAGGGGGAGCATCCCAGAAACCCTCCTTAATTGCAGTAGTCAGGGGTAGGCCCAAGGCCAGAAGCTCCCAAGCGCCGAGGTAAAGCGGCTGCAAAGCACTTCGCTGAAGTCGCGGGAGGAGTGGCCAGGAGTGTGGACCAAGAGCAGGTGAAGCCTGGTATGGAATCGGAGCAGCTGCTGGGGTGTAGGACCCTAAGTATACGGCTAAACCCTAAACCCTAAACCCTAAAACCTAAACCTGGGGTTTTGGAGATCGGGGCCCCTGAGATTCCCAGTCTAGCACTTCATGGGGACTTAAGGGCTTCAGGGGGTTGATGGTTTAGGGCTTAGACTTGTTGAAGTTCTGAATGAAGTAACGAGCTCGCCTGCGCAGTTAAGTTTGTGCGTATGCATTGTGTGTGTGTGCTATTGGATCTGTTCAACCGATGAAACGAGCAACGCTACATACTGCACTGTGCCAAGGTCTAGAAAATCTTCTTGAAACCAGCTTCAACAGCTAGGAAATTTGTTATGTAGCTTAAGAACAGCAAGCGTGCCTTGTACTCGGTTGCAAAGGTTGCAAGTTATTACTTTGTGATGGAAGCAAATGCGCATTTTGAAGGTGACGGGCAACACGATGAAGAAGATGGCCCGATCCCGAGACCCTAAACCCTCAAACCTGCATCTAGATCCTAAACCCTAAGCCCCAAACCTCTGACTGGATCTTTACAAAGTCCAAGAAGTCATCCCAAGCTGAACCCTAAACCCTAGGAAGTCCTTCTTGTCCCACTGGGCCGCGGCCACGCCGGTTCCGCTTCTCCAAGCCCGAAAGCTTTGGTTGAAGACCCGGGAAGGCTGCTGGGTGGAATGTAAAGGGCTTGGTTGGTAGCCCAGTGGTACCCAGTTCGCTTTGTTTTGGCTCAGGGTTTCCTTATAAAGTAACCAACCCAGAAGGCTGCCCTTATTATCATATAGTTACTGGGCTACCAGGAGGGGGTTGGGGGGGGTGCAGGGTTCCAGGTTGAGGGGTTTGCGGCCTGGGTTGGGTGTCGGGGCTTAGAATTTAGAGTATGGAATATAGAGCTTGATGTTTTGGGGTTTCGGGGGCTTATGTAAAGCTTGATGTTTGGGGTGTTAGGGTGCTAGGGTTTTAGCTTTAGAGGCAGAGACGCTGGTTCTGCTTCGACCCGAGGTCTCATTGTGTGGTTGAATTTACAGCTGCCCCGTCTATGAGCGGACTGCGAGTACGCAAGTCTTGGGGGGTTTAGGTTCAAGCTAAACCCTAAACCCTAAACCCTACAGCCACATCATCCCCCTGGTTCTTAGTAGGGAATGAGGGGAATTAGGGCTCTAGGGAGTATGTAGGTACCTCATTCCCTCATTCCCTAGCAAGACACGGCTGATCTCCATGAGCTGAGTCCCAAAGGGTCCATGTACCCATGTAGTATATACCTGGGCCCTAAAGATACTATATGGGAACCCCCTTTAAGGCCCAAGTATGTACTATATAACCCTAAACCCTAAACCCTAAACCCTAAACCTTAAACCCTAAACCCTAAACCCTAAATCCTAAACCCTAAACCCTAAACCCTGTGGGAGTGCAAAGCCGCTGGAGTTTTCTGGACGTGCAAGAGGTGTCAGCCAAGGCCAGCTCGACGTGGGGGGTGGCTTTGCGCACTTCCCCACAAACCTTCATCACCCTAAACCCTAAACCCTAAATCCTAAACCCTAAACCCTAAACCCTAAACCCTAAACCCTAAACCCTAAACCCTAAACCCTAAACCCTAAACCCTAAACCTATTCGGACTTTGGTTTCAACAGCAAAAGCGCCCCAAGAACTGGAGCCTCTGCTGCTAAGGCCGCAATGGAACAGATATCCCCTCCATGAGGCTTGGCAGATCTTGGACTCACTATGTCGTGTTGTTGCGATAGAAGCTTAGTAGTAGAGTGGGTGACCCTCTGACCTTTTTGGGGTATTCTATTCCCTTCAACTTCCCAAAGGTTAACCTTTACTTCCCCTAGGATAAGTAAGCCCTCTACCCTAAAGCCTAAACCCTAAACCCTAAACCCTAAACTCTGTATGTCGTAGATTGTCTGTTTGTTTTTGTTCGGTTGCTTTGAGAAGTGTGCACGAGGAATTCGAAAGTCGACTGAACCAGCCAAGCTACACAATTTTGGTTTAGGGTTTAGGGCTTAGGGCTTAGGGCTTAGGGCTTGAGGTTTAGGGTTGAGGGTTAAGGGTTTAGGGTTTGAGTTTTAGGGTGTAGGGCTTCGGGTTTGTCAAGGGACTACAGGAGGACCTGAGGGGTTCTTCAGGGGTTGAGGGGATACTTAGGTACATAGGGACTATATATGATATGTAGGGGTGAAGTAGGGGAGTAAGATTAAGGGTCCTCCTGGTACCCTTCCGGATTCCCACCTAGCTCAGGAAACGCGAGAAGGACCAGCTGCGAATGTGTCAGTACTTGTTGACAGGGGATGTCTTTGACGCAGGCAGCTGGGCTGCTAGGAGACTTCAATCGAGTTGCCAGAACATGGACGGAGAAAGTAAGAAATCCGGCTTCCTTTGTTGCCACCCCTAAATCGTTAAACCCTAAACCCTAAAGCCAAAAACCCTAAACACCCTAACTTCCACGTGCCGTTCCAACTTAGACTCAGACTTAGACTTCTAAAGTTTATCACAGAGCAACACCTTACAACCCCACAACCCCAAAACCCCTAGAACCCTAGAACCCTAGAACCCTCGAACGCTAGAACGCTAGAACCCTCGAACCCTCGAACCCTAGAACGCTAGAACCCTAGAACCCTAGAACCCCAAACCCTATACCCTAAACCCTATACCCTAAACCCTAACGTAAATTCAGAAGTTCTTTGAAGCAAAGGCAAGCCGGAGGTCGGCAATCCATCGATGTGGTCCGTCCCAGCCGGCTCTCCACCAATCGCGCAAGGCGAAAGCGCTCCTCAGTGGTGTCGGGATTCCCTACTCCCTAAACCCTAAACCCCAAACCCCAAACCCTAAACCCAGGGGAGCTTAGGAGATTTTAGGGAGTTTTTCAGGGTGTTAAGGGCATTTAGGGAGTTTAGGGTTTTTTGGGGTTTTGTCGGTCCCTCATCAAGCTGCCCGATGCTAGAACCCAGGCTTTCGCTGCAGTTGAAGCCGATGATCTGGCAGACGGACCGAAGAAAGACAACATCGGCAAGTGCCTGGCGAAGGCTTCAGGGTTTCGGGTTTAGGGTTTGGGCTTAGGGGTTGCCATTTCTCAATCTGCAATGAGGAAGTTAGGTATGGTATGCCCCCCCCCTTACATAGCCCCTTTGAGGAACGATAGCGGTTGCATTCCCGAGTAAGAACCAGTAAGAAGGTGCTTCTGCAGAGGCTGCAGCGTCTCCGCACGATGATACAGAAAGGCATCATCAGGATAGAGCTTCTCTGCGAGTTCGTTGAGGCAGACTCGTCTACAGCAAAGTGGATTGCTGATCAGCAGCCATGGACAATGCCTCTTGGACAGCTGGAGGTTCTGGGGTTTAGGGCTATGGGACTGCCAACGCTCCTACCGCCCGCAACCCAAGAACCCCGAAACCCTAAACCTTAAGTTGGATCCAGAATCCACAGCCAAAAAGCGACCCTAAACCCCCAGCCCCAAACCCTAAATGCAGCTTCGAAAAATCTGTCTCAGGTCGTGGTCCAACGTGCTGGACTACATGACTCCGAGGAGCTTCTAGGATCCCACACTAGGGGGTTAGGGTTTCGAATCTAGGGCTTGGGGTTTACAGTTTAGAGTTTAAGGTGTAGGGTTTCAGGGGTTTAGGGTTTAGGGTTTGGGGTGTAGGGTTTCAGGGCCCTCGAGCTACTTTCCCCTGTCGGGTTTAAGAGAGTCTTGTTCTTTTGAACAGTTTTTTTTCTGAGGGCCTCACTTTGCATGATTCTGAAAGTTTAAAGCCAACCGAGACTTCCACAAGCTGGCGCGGGCGTGTTCAGTCCACGGGGATACCGTGCACTACGCCTACTCCATGAACTGGGTTGCAGCAGCCTGCTTATGAAGAGAGATCCCATCACTTGCAGCTCGCGTTTGTTCCTAAACCCTAAACCCTACACCCTAAGCCCTAAACCCTAAACCCTAAACCCTACGTCCGACACCCTAAGCCAGTCTTCTTTCTGATCCCCGGCTCCCCTGGCAAAGAAGGAGGTGGTAGGCACCTCTATCCTGGACTACTCCGATCTGGGGCAGCGGAGGCAAATCATCGAGGCCACACATCAAATCCTGGAGGAGACTGCTCGACTCGCTCCCGCAGGAAGATTCTTGCATCTACCCCCCTTCGACTCGCCGCTGAATTCCACCGGGTATCTCCTTGCCACGGCCTTGCACAAGCACTGGACGAAGCATTTGGGCCACAATCTGGGCCACATTGCCCTAAGCCCCAAAAACCCCTGACCCCTAAACCGCCTGAACCCCTGACCCCTAACCCCGAAACTCTAAACCCTAGACCCTATCCGGGCCGAGTTAGTTGAGGAGTTTTTGTAGCTTGCATCGTGACTCATCAGGGGGTTGTGAGCGCCTTGAAATCCCGAGCCACGAGTCCTGAAACCTAGTCTGTCTTAGGGGTGCCGGATTGAGCGGCTGACAGTGTCCCTAAACCCGAAACCCATCCTACACCCTAAACCCAAGGTACTTCTTCGATCCGCAGTTGGCGGGGCAGGATGTACAGGTTGGGCTGGCGTCCCTGTCCCTCGGCATTTTAAGGCTTAGAGGGCTTAATGGTTCAGGGTTTCCAGCGTTTAGGGTTTGGGGGTTTAGGGGTGTAGGGGTTTAGGGGTTTAGAGGTTTAGGGGTTTCGGGTTTATTGGTTTGGGATTAGAAAGGAACCCTGCAAAAGAAAGCAGAAGTCGGGGTTCTAGGCACGGCACAAGGTCCCTGCAACCCCAAACCCGTGCTCAAAGCTAAGCCCCAAACTCAACCTGAACACCTTGGTTGTAAGCAGTTGAGGGTGGGCTTTGGCTTATCAATGCAAAGGTTGAGGGCCACACTTTTGGCATAGGGTTGTAGGGTTGTATGGTTTCGGGCTTAGAGCGTATAGTGCTTGATCGCTTGAAGGGGTGTAGAAAGTTCCTGTCTGCCATTTTTCGGGGTAGGTGTGCAAAGCGTAGACGAGTCAAGGAATCTCTTCTGCAGCCTAGAACTAGCATAATGGAAGGCAAGAAGCTTTGATTTAGACTTTATAGTGACTTTGTTTCATGGTTCCCCTACCACCCCCCTCTATACTACCCCCATAATTAAGGCTATTTAGGGATAATTAAGCGGAACCTAGGGGGGGGTAGTACAGAGGGGGGTGGTAAGGGGAACCCATGATTGTTGCGCCAGGCAAACCTACAATCCGCTAGCGACCAATGCCACCACGCTGTCCCTCACATGGACTTACGACGCCACCATTCAGCTGAAAGATGCGTCAGGGTCGGACTTAGTGCCTTGGCAGGGATCCAGTCGGGTTTTGGGGGTTTTCGGGGATTAAGGTTAGGTTTTAGGTTTTAGGTTTTAGGTTTTAGGTTTTAGGTTTTAGGTTTTAGGTTTTAGGTTTTAGGTTTTAGGTTTTAGGTTTTAGGTTTTGGGTTTTAGGTTTTAGGTTTTAGGTTTTAGGTTTAGGGGTTTAGAGGGTTAGGGGTTTAGGGGTTTAGGGGTGTAGGGGTGTAGGGGTGTAGGGGTTTAGGAGTTTAGGGGTGTGGGTTCAGGGTCTATGAAGGGTTTAGGGTTAAGCTCTACACCCTAAACTTCTGGACCTTCCTGGAAGACCCTACCTTGAAGCGGCATCGAGGAAAGTTAGTTTTTTGCAATGGAAGGCTCAACATGGATGACCCCTTAGCTAGGGTTTAGGGTTTAGGGTTTAGGGTTTAGGGTTTAGGGTTTAGGGTTTAGGGTTTAGGGTTAGGGTTTAGGGTTTAGGGTTTAGGGTTTAGGGTTTAGGGTTTAGGGTATTTTGCCTGGGCTAGCTGAGGCGGACGATCCCTTCAATTCTTTACCTGACTGCGCAGTCAGCTAAGGGTCGAAGGGCTTTATGGTTTGGGGTTTCGAGCCTGCAAAGAATGTGGGCCCCAGGGCAGCTTCTGCCCAGTCTCCCCTGAACCCTAATTCAACCCTAAACCCTAAACCCTAAACCCTAAGCCAAAACCCTACAAACCCTATTGGAAATCTCAACCTGCATACTTCTGAACTCTATAAAGGCTATATATCCTCAACATCAACTACCACCCTAAGCCCTAAACCCTATAAACCCTCGGAACCCGACAAACCTTCTTAACCCTATATAAACCCTAAACCCTAACCCTAAACCCTGAACCCTCAACCAACCCTACACCCTAAACCCTAAACCCTAAACCCTAAACCCTAAACCCTAACCCCTAACCCCTAAACCCTAAACCCTAAACCCTAAACCCTAACCCTAAACCCTAAACCCTAAACCCTAAACCCTAAACCCTAAACCCTAAACCCTAAACCTAACCCTAAACCCTAAACCCTAAACCCTAAACCTAAACCCTAAACCCTAAACCCTAAAGCCCTAAAAACCCTAGCCTGGTCGCGGCCAGCTGATATTTCAAAGCCTCGCAGCAGCGACTCCGTGTAGGCGCTTAGTTTCCGTAGCCTTGGCTGCCGGAAGCAAAGACTCGTCTTAAGCTGAAGGTTGCACCTACCTTAACCCAAACCTAAACCCTAAACCCTAAACCTAACCCTAAACCTAACCTTACTTTGCATCCGCTGCGCGTTTAGGTTAGGGGCCCCACCGCTTTGTTTGTGCCATTTTGCGGCAGCCCGGGACTTTCCATGTAAAAGGGCTTTCCCAAAGCGCTTCCTTTGTCTAGTTAGGTAAGATGTTACAATTGTTAGGGTGCTTAAACACAATACAAGACTTGATTTTTAATTGCACCCCAACCAGGAACTAGTCTTTTTCGGATTTAGGGTTTATAGGGTTTAGGCAACGCCCCTGGCACCCTACACTGGAAGCCCTCTGCCCTTCTGCCTCTACCTTCCCCCCCCCCCCCCGCGGCCTAGGATCCTCAACCCGAGCTTTCACGCATGGATCCTGCAGTTTAGGGTTTCGGGTTTGGGGTTTGGGGGAAAACCCATGGATCCAGAAGTTAAAAAAAATTGAATCCTGATTTAATTTTTGTGTTTGGGTTGGGTTTTGACCTACCTCGACATACCTTCTCCCTACAAAAACACAATTAAATCGTGATTTAATTGTGTTTCTTTGCGTTTGACTGGAAGACAATTAAATCGTGATTTAATGGTATAGCAAAGACTTGTGCTAATTGGTACCTGTTTGCACCATTAAATCATGATTTAATTGTACTATTATTACTAGTATTACTATTAGTCTTATTATTCCTATTACTATGAGTCTTACTACTACTATTATTATTATTATTATTATTTTGACTACTAGTCTTAATATTGCTATTACTATTAGTATTACCATTATTATTCTTATTCTTCTTCTTATTAGTATTTTCTTATTATTATTACTATTACTTTTACTCGTATTACTGTTACTATTGTTATGAGTAGTATTATTATTCTTCTTATTGTTACTTCCATTATAATTATTACTATTACTATTACTCGTATTACTGTTACTATTATTATGAGTAGTATTATTATTATTCTTATTGTTACTACCATTATTTTTACTACAACTATTATTATTCCTATTACTATCATTATTACTATTACGATTACTATTACTATTCCTATTATTATTATTACTATTACTAAGAACAAAGACCCCGTAAAAAGAACAACAAAAAATGAGCCACGGGGCGGCTCCTAACTAGAAGGAGTAGTGAGTGAAGTGTCACACCACGTGATGTCTCACATCGTTCGCGCGTGCATGTTTTCCTGCCAGTCGACATATGCTTGTCGTGCCCACGAAAAGACCTCCGACGAACTGTGAGCTCCCTTCGACAATCACCTCACTGCCACGCCATCAACATTCCGGTGTAGCTGTAGTTCGTTATCTGGTTGTCCCAAATTTCATGGGTGTCCTAGTGGTTAAGGTGGTTCCCGATCCGACCCGTATTCAGGCTTGGTCATTGATTCATGTCCATTAAATCCTGATTTAGTTCTGCTGCGGGTTGGGGTCGTCTAGCATAAACAATTAAATCCTGATTTAATTGTTTCTGCGGGTTGGGGTCGTCTAGAAGAAACAATTAAATCCTGATTTAATTGTTTTCCTTGAGCAGCTTGCCGGCATGGCATGCTACGTCGCGCGACGTTAACAGGCAATTAAATCGAGAGTTAATTGTGCTGGACCTAAGGGGCGTCGAGCCGGCCCGATGCCGGTCAATTAACTTCAGAGTTAATTTTCCTTAACTCTTGGATCCACTGTCTTCCCCCTAGGTTTGGGGTCTTCCTCCTTCCCCTTCCCGATAGGGCTCGGTCGCAGCAAAGCGCGGCCTTCCCGGTTTATGGGGCTTATTAAAGTTTGCAGGGTTTACGGGGATTAAGGTCAACGGTTTAAGATGAAGGTTCCAACCCTTGGGGGTCCAGGGTCCATCTCCTCACTTACTAGGACCCAGAGTTAAGTCCCATTCCCTTTTCTTTTAGGTTTCAGGTTCCCTTGTAAGCCCCTATAAACCAAACCCTAAACCCTAAACCCTAAACCCTAAACCCTTTAAACCAAAATGGGTAGTGACCCCCCCCCCCCCTCTAAACCCTAAACCCTTAAACCCTAAACCCCAAACCCTAAACCCTAAACCCTAAACCCTAAACCCTAAACCCCAAACCCTAAACCCTAAACCCTAAACCCTAAACCTTGGCCCCCCCGAAAGCTCTTAAAGCCGAAGCCCTTGGAGGCGCATGGGCCTGGGAGGCGCGCGAGATGGGTCAGGGGTCCTGCGGGGTCTGTACCGAAGCTTGGGTTCAGGGTCTAGGGTTTAGGGTTTAGGGTTTAGGGTTTAGGGGGTTTAGGGGGTTTAGGGGGTTTAGGTTTATAGGGCTTGTAGGGTTTATAGGGCTTATAGGGTTTGTAGAGGTTTATAGGGTTTATAGAGGTTTATAGGGGGTTTTTCGTTTGCAGGGTTTGTAGAGTTTGTAGGGGTTGTAGGGTTTGTAGGGTTTATAGGGTTTTTAGGGGTTTGAAACGGTTACCGGGATTATAGGGCTTGTAGGGCTTATAGGGCTTATAGGGTTTATAGGGCTTAAGGTTTAGCTCGGTAGCCCAGTGTTGCCACTTTGCCCTTGTTGGCTACCCTGATTGTAAGATGGTAACAGGGCTACCAAGAGAGACTTTGCAGGGGATTTCTGTTGCGTATGTTTGCATGTGTATCAATGCCAAGAAAATAGTGTAGGATTAGGATGACCAAACTCCTATTCCCTTTATTCATGGGTTGGCTTCCCTTCTGAAATCCCTGAAGCCGAGAAAGGGCAGCTATGCTTCCCAGTACGATACTGCTATTATGGCATGGGGTTTCGGCGTCGTAGGGTTCAAGCAAACTGCCCGGCCCAGCCCGCACCACCACCGCCTCCAAACCCCAGGCTGAAAAACTGCCAGCAAGGCGTGGATTCTGGTAGCCTTGGCATGGGGTCAAGAAGCCACCCTAAACTCTGGATCCTTATTTCCGGCTACCTGTATAGCCGACCACACACTCGGGGCGAGTAGGCGGGGAAGGAGGGGGGGGGGGGGGCTTTAAGATCTACCGGCCGACCGTTTCCAGGACTTCACACAAGCAGATGAGCGCTCGCTGCCCGATCCTCAGAAGATTGACCCCACATGCGGGTTCCGAAAGTAAGTAGGGGGGTACCATATTGGGGTCCTTATTATCAGGGAATCCTCTATTCGGGGACTGTTTAAGGGGCCCCTTGTTTTCGTAAACCCCCATATCCCTGAGAGGTCGAGGACCACACAGGTCTGCCAGCGTCTTAGGGTTCAGGGTTCACGCTGCAGAGGGCGCGTTAGGCTTCATGCGTCATATGTTTAGGGTTTCGGGCTGTGTTACCCCTTAGCACCCCAATTTTCCCAAGTAATCTGGCTCAATCGAATTCAGATTGTCTCTACACAGGAGGGTTTGCGATTCTTTTAGGCTCCCAGCCGTAGCTGCCCCGAACCCTAAGCCCGAAAGCCGAAACCCTCAACTTGATGGTCGTCCTTCGTTACTTGGTTTTGTCTGATGCCCGAAGCCACAAAACCCAAAGCCAGATTCCTCAACCCTACGCCCTACACCCTAACCCTAAACCCTAGACCCCAAACCCCAAACCCTAAACCCTAAACCCTAAAGCCTTTGGGTTCAGGGAGTTTAGGGACCTCTGGTGTAGCCGGTTGGGAAGACTGAGACTTGTGCTCGTGTTTCAGGTTTAGGCCTCTGGTTGCAGATGTGGACCTGGCCCTAAACCCTAAACCTAAACCCTAAACCCTAAACCCTAAACCCTAAACCCTAAACCCTAAACCCATCGCGCTTAGGACTGCACTGCGCGACTTTCCATAATGTGCAGGGGTTTACGCACCTAGAAGAAGGGACCCCCAAAATGACCCCAACTAGTAGGACTTCCCTTATGAGGAAACCCCCCCATAAGGTACCATAATTTGCGGAAACACCGTAAACCCGAAACCCTAAACCCTAAAAACCCTAAACCCCAAACCCTAATCTAGGAATCGGAACTCACAGTTGTCCGGCCATCGCAATCCACGCAAGGCAGCCATGTGAGAAGGCTATGAGGGCGATTCATGCTTCTGCTGCAGGACAACTCTAACTCCCAAGCATCGAGTTTAGGGTTTAGGGTTTAGGGTTAGGGTTTGGGGTTTAGGGTTTAGGGTTAGGGTTTAGGGTCTGGGGTTTGGGGTTTGGGGTTTAGGGTCCTCGCTTTCGATTGGTGTCAGAGACGGCATTTCTTTGAAGCGAACGTGGGTGGACTTGCATTTGCAACTGTAGCAGGAAACGACCCTTTGTCCCAGGTCCCAAACTCCTCACCCTAAACCCTAAACCCTAAACCTTTTTCGCTAAACCCTAAACCCTCAACCCGAAACCCTAACACCTTTAAGGGTCCATG